TTCCATTTAATAATTTGATCTATGTTAGTGTTAGTTTTTCCTTCTCGGATGATAGGAAAATAGGGAAATGAATGAATGAATGAATGAATGAATGAAGCGAATGATTGAATGATAATGAATGAATAGAGCGGATGATTGAATGGAGTGAATGAGTGAATGAATGGATGAATGAATGAATGAGTGAATGAGTGGATAAATGAATGAATGAGTGAATTAATTAATTAATTAATGGATGAATGAATGAATGAATGAATGAATGTGTGAATGAATGAATGAATGAATAATTGAATGAATGAATGAGTGGATAAATGAATGAATGAGTGAATTAATTAATTAATTAATGGATGAATGAATGGGTGAATGAATTAATGAATGAATGAATGAATGGAGCGAATGAATGAATGAATGAATGGAGCGAATGAATGAATGAATGAATGGAGCGAATGAAATGAATGAATGAATGAATGAATAAATGGAACGAATGATTGAACGGAGTGAATGAATGAATGAGAACAGGAAATGAAAAATTTTGGTAAAATTAATTGCATTTTGCCTCTTCCTTTAATGGTATCATATTGTGCATGCGACTTAATGAAAACAAATCAAACCAGCCCGGAAAATTTGCACTTTGTTTGATACAAATAACAAAAATCGAAGAGAAAAAAACGGAATGATACTCTCTCTTTCCTTCTTTTTCCCTCTCTCTTTCCCTCTCTCTCTCTCTCTCTCAGCTTACCTCCTTTTTTTCCTTTACCGTGGGAATAACGTAAATTAAATAAAGACAGTGGAAAAGAGAAATTTTAAAAATAAGAAAGAAAGAAAGATGTAAAAGAAGAGAGCGATCATACGAAGGGATTTGCAAATTTCAAATATTTTGTCTAATATTTTCTTCCCCTTTTTTTTTCATCATTTCATTTCATTTAATGGTAGTTTTTATCGATAGAAGAAGATGTGAACAATAAATTTTGAAAGAATAAATATGAAATGAAAATATAAACGAAACTATCGAAAATTAATTGAATTGAGAATGTAATAATAAATTTTATAGTATAAAAGAATTTACAATTCATGTTTCATTCATATTTCTAATTAATGAAATATGTGGATTGAGAATTAATAATAAATTTTATAGTATAAAGGAACTTACGATTCATTCCTTATTCATTTCTAATTAGTTACATATATCGAATATGCGTTACGTGATAAGCGTTACGTTAGGTTATATGACTTACTTACTAGGTTATATTAATTAGAAATAATTATTTATGATGATATTAAGCGATTCTTACGGGAAGTTAAAATTTGAAATCTTTTTTTTTTTGGAGAAGTAATGCAAAACAAAAAAAGAAGGAAATTATTTTATTTTATATTTTAAATTTATCCTTGAAATGAAATTAAAAGTTGGTATTAATATTTGGTATAAATTAAAGAAAGTAAAAATAAAATTATCCAAAAATGTTTTTCTCATCAAATAAAATGCTATTTCTTTTTTTTCATAACTCATATTTACATAATTAGTGATAATAATTATCGATAATAATTAAGGAGATAATAATTAAGATAATAATTCTTAAATATCAAATTTTAATGAATTAATCATTTTGTTTCATTTTTTTTTCTGTCAATTTTAATACTGATTTCTCTTCTTACAATAATATGAAGAATGTTAACAATGATCTTTGGTAATTTCTATTGTTTCAATAATTTTCACAGCCGTAAATTTGTTATTAATCAAAAATAGAAACACAAAACAAAAACCAATATGGTTTGAATTATCATATGACCTAAATTAGTATGGTATATACTAGCGGATCGTCAGTAGAAAAAAGGAAAATGAAAGAAAAGCTGACCGATGACAAAAGAAAACCATCTTAAGGCTTATATTCTAATTTCAAATTACCAAATAGATTATTACCATAGAAGTGAAAGAAGAAGGATTCTTGGTGTAAAAATTAGAACCAATAATCGACCGATAAATACGCCTAAAACCGATAAGATGGGAAAACTGGTTTTTATCGTGATCAGATGGATAGTTTCTGTAGGAATGAATGAATGAAAAGAAATGTGACACACAAATGAATTGTTTGAGCAGCAGACGTGAAATGATGATACATAAAGTTTGATTGCGATATGAGAAAATAACAAAATGCTCATTGAAATTTATTTTTTCCCTTATCCACCAGAGAAAAGTAATAGAAAATTTATTCGTACAGAAAAGAACGAACAAAAAATTTGTTAAGGGAATTTTTGATGAATTACCTATCACTTTTTGCATATTTTAACATCTAATTTCTTTTGAATATTATATTTTTTGAAATTTTACTGGAAAAAAAAAAAACAAAATTAAATTTGAATTTGAAAAATTTCAAAATAGCTAATTGAAAACAGAAAATTTCAAAATAGCTAATTGAAAATGAAAAATTTCAAAATAGCTAATTGAAAACGATAGTTAATTGAAAAGCTAATTAAGCTAACTTTAAAAAAACATAAATAATGCAAAAATAGGGAATCTATTGAGATTTTGAATATAAGTAGTTAATGTAATAAATTTGATTGAAAAATATAAGTAGGCGTATTTTATGACAAAATTTAACAATGATTGTTAACAATGGTTAATTAATATTATAATATTGTAATAATGATTTTATATTATTGTAATAACGTATTGTATTATTGATTTAAATTTCATATTATTAAATAATATAATTAACAAAGATTTTAATGTTTATCAAAAATTTACATGAATTTATTTAATAATTAATTTTACGTAAAACGTGAAATTTTCCTTTAAATTTTCTTTCATCGGAAATTTTCAAACAAATCAAACAAAAAATTTTTTGGATGTGCATCATATAAAAATACATGCAAATTATTGATTTTTCAATGATTTTCCAGTGAGAGAGATATGAGTATTGATTTTTTTTTACATTTACTAATAATATCTCATAGTTTCGATTAATTGCAAAAATAAATGCGACAACGACAACGACAATGACAACTAAAGCAAATTGAAAAAGTTTATGTGATGTTTTAATTTCATTTAATTATAATGAAAATGAAAAAAAAAGAAATGAAATTTGTCACAATAAAAAATAATTTAGGCCTTATAGAATATAAAATAATATATATTGCATTCAACTAAATGAAAGTCTAAAATTAAAATAAACGAAAAACTTACTTCTAATTGGTGAATCAACATGAGAAGAAGTACGACCATCTGATACCGATGGTGATAATTCTGAAAATAAATGAAGCAATTACAGGATATTTTTCAATATCAAATATTTTTCCTTTGTTCAAACCGGTTTATTTTGTTGCAGTTAAAATAAATGTGTATAAGTGTTAGTAATTGCTTCAGCATTTAATTAATTTATTCATTCAAAAATCTCTTTGAGTTTTATTCATATCATAAATGAAATTTTGCCTAATAAAATGCAAACCTTAATTAGTATTTCAATAATACATATTTAATTATATGAAATTTTAATTCTTAATTAAGTATATTTTACTAAATTCATCCATTCTTTATTATACTTTACTAAATTTATCCATTCCATTTTGATTTTTATTCCGGATCGGATAATTATGCAACATAATAGGTATATTTAAATTAAAGCAAAAAACAAATGAAATAGTTTCTACAACAATTTTCCTATCTTTTTTTTCATTTTCGACAAAAGAAAAGCAAAAATGATAATTTCAAGAAAGAAAGAGAGAGAGAGAGAGGGAGAGGGAGAGAGAGGAAGGGAAGGGAAAAGAAAAGATCTTTTCGTTTCATCAAAGTGCTTTTTCTCCTCCCCTGTTCCATCTTATTAAATTGCTGATAATACTATTAGATAGACCGATAAATCGTGATAGATACTGAATCATTGTCGAAATTTCCGTTTTCTTCTTTTTTTCTTCTTCCTCCTCTTCTCCTACCTTTTTATTTTAGGATTATCAAACATATCTTATTCACGTCAAAACATACCAAATTATCAGTTCAACGGATCTTTTCTATCCATTTGATTAAAACATATTATACATAACCGAGTTTGGAAAATGCAAACCATATCAATAACATTGATAATTTTATTCAAAAATAAACATTATATATATCTGATATATGCATACGGTATTACAAGCCATTTGAAATTTAGGATATATACTATTAGTGCATTATATTTTCGGGTCAAAGGTTATGCATATATTAAAATACCGTAATATTTTCTAGTGTCATATATGATTAGTCTTAACTGCTCTCTTATTGTTTTGTCTTCCTTCTTTTTTTCTTGTGGATTGTCAACAATGAAAATAAATAATGAATACAACCAATAACCTTTTAGCAACATTTTAGTACCGTAATCAACAGGTATTAGTAATCCATTTTAAAGGATTGTTATAAACATGACCTTTGGATATATTTATAGGTAATTTGTAGGAATAAATAATCCAAGTGTAATTAATTAGAAATTACTTATAGTATCATATATTTGCTACTTTTGTTTTTCCTCTCTCTCTCTGTTCCTCTTTTTCTCCCTCTATCTCTCTCTTCCTTTGTATTATTATCCAACCAATATATTAATTATCAGGTAAATAGTAAAAAATTTGTCAAATATTAAATTTCATTTCGAAGATGAAACATCCACATGTACACCATCATACACACATATACATATATTTTCACTCCTCATCTTGTAAAGGTATACATATATATGTATACCTTTACAAGATGAACTTCTTAAGAAAACATACCGGGAGTGAAATATGATATATGCCTCGCTGATAACAACATTAGCTTTTATTGTAGTAACAAATGACATTACTGTAGTGATAATTATTGTTGCTGCTACTTTTAATTTTACTACTATCAATGTTTTATCATTACATTTAGAGTGTATAGTTTAATTTCTATTTTTTATAGTAATTATTATTATTTATAACTTTTTGATAATTATATTATTGTCGATGAAGAAGTAATAATCTATTTATAAGATATTATTATTTCATATATATTTCATCTAACTTAATTTTTTGTCCATTTTATTGATCGTTTTAAAAATTTCCACAAATGAAAAATTTGATTGAAATGAAATAAAGAAAAAAAATGGACCTGTTCGAGATTGTGGTGAATGATTTTGCAAACTTTGTAGTAATTGTTGTTGATGAAGAAAATTAGCATAGTATTGTTGTAAATGTGGATTGAACAATGATAATTGAGCAGCCATTTGATTAGGAAAAACGGAACTACCACCGGTTGTAGTAGATGATACAGCTGGAAATGCTGCTGCTGCTGCCATAAATGGTAAACCTGGAAAAGCCATAGTTGCAGCAGTTGCTGCAAATCGTTGCTTTTCCTTATCCATATCACCAGTACTTCTACTTGTACTACCACTGCTAGACGGTAATGAACACATCCTTGGCAATGACATCACAAGAAAATCTGAAAAAGAATTCCAAAAAATAAATTAAATACTTAAATACATTTGAATATCAATGAAAGAGTACTCGTGTAATAATGCAATTTAATTTCGACAGTTTATATTTCTCATTTAACTATTATCAATTACCATCTTGGTCTTTGGTGTAAAATCAAGTTGGAATTAATTATTATAATTTTACTAGTGAATATTTAATTAAAATAATAAGAATCTTATTTGTACTGCATCATTGCAATAGTGTAAAATCAAATTGTAATTAATTTTCATAATTTTACAAATGAATATTTAATTAAAATAATACGAATTTTATTTCTACTGTATCATTACAATAGTGTAGAATCAAGTTGGAATTAATTTTTATAATTTTACTAATCAATATTTAATTAAAATAATAAGAATCTTATTTGTACTGTATCATTACAATAGTGTAAAATCAAATTGTAATTAATTTCCATAATTATATTTTTCATAATTTTACTAATGAATATTTCATTGAAATAATACGAATCTTATTTGAAAGATTAAAATTCTATTATACTGTATCATTGCAAATCACTAGTAATAAACTTATAATGAAATAAATGATAAGTATTTTTAGTAACACACACACACACACACACATACCTGGTATGAACTACTCATTTGTTTTATTATAATATTTGTCTAATTTTGAAAAAATTTTCTCTTGCTTTAAAAATAATTTTGAATGAGTCATATATGTTCTTATTGTGAAACAAATCATTTCTTCAAACTTTAAATTTCATATATCGAAAATTTCTTGAAAAATAATATATAACCAAAAAAAAATGATATACAATAAATAACGTATATGTTAAATATTGTTTATCTGAATAGATATATAATAAATATTGAATAATTGTTAATAATACTAAAATTACAAAAAATTGAAGATATTGTTTATCTTGTTTATCTGATAATAAATAATAAATATTGTTATAATAAATATTGTTTATCTGAATAATAAATATTGTTTATCTGAATAGATATATAATAAATATTGAATAATTGTTAATAATACTAAAATTACAAAAAATTGAAGATGTTGAATTTCTGCAAAATTTCATCATAAAATATCATATCTTTTCAACAATTTTTTCCGTTTTTGCAAAAAAAAAAAAATGAATTTTATTTAATTATTTGAGAATACTTTTCCTAATTAATTTATTCGTTAAGTTATTGTTGGAAATTTCGTATTTAAATTTTAAATTTGATAAATAAATAAATAAGACAGAGAACAAAAATGAAAGGATAGGAAGCAAAGAGAAATGAATATTTAGTAGAGGAAGAAATAGTTCCGGAAGAGAAACAGTTCATTTTGTTATGTTTCAAAATATTTCATCACTTCTTATTCATTCAACGAAATGCCATTTATCATTGATAAAGGCGAGGGTATTTTGATTGACAGGAATGAATGAATGAATGAATGAATGAATTGAATGAATGAATTGAATGAATGAATTGAATGAATGAATGAATAAACGGGTAGTCCATTTTGTTATGGTTCAAAACATTTCATCACTTCTTATTCGTTCAACGAAATATCATTTAGCATTGATAAAGGCGGGGATATTTTGGTTGACAGGAATGAATGAATGAATGAATATGAATTGAACGAATGAAAGAATTGAATGAAAGAATGAATGAATGAATGAGTGAATGAACCCGGTAGTCAGTCCATTTTGTTATGCTTCAAAACATTTCCTCATTTCACATTCGTTCACCGAAATACCATTTATCATTGATAGAGGCGGGGGTATTTTGATTGACAGAAGCTGGTTGAAGTATACCAAACTATTCTCATTCATATTCCTCCCTACCTCCTATCATCGTTTTCTAAATATTTCTTATTGGAGAAAAAATTTTTTTTGTTTTGTAAAATTTTGAAACATTTTTTTATGCAAATTAAAAATATTATAATTACCATTCTAGTCTGTCATCAAATTTTAATTAATTATTTTAGCAAAAATAAATTCTCGTTATACAGCAATTGGGATTATAACAATATTGATAATGATAATAAATGATAGTTATAAACGATAATAATAACAACAGTGATGAATAAGTATTTTCAACAATGATAATTGTTATTATTTATTTAAACAATGATAATTGTTATTATTTATTTAAACATGCATGCATTGCAAATTTTTCATATTTTAATTTTGAATTCTTTTTCAGCTACTCTAATATTAAATTTAAAATATGCAAAATTTTCCATTAATTATCATGTCGTAAATATATCTGCTGTTTTCATTATGGTAAAACAAATTAACTTGATCAAAATTAATTAGCAACTTGGAATTTTTTTGTTGCGGAATTTAATTTTAATCAAAATTCTTCTATCATAATCGATCGGATAAATGTCAAATTATTACATGTGATATTGTTCGTTGAAATTTGCATCATTTTTCGACAATTAAATTTAAAAAATGAAGTCTCACCTATTTAGTCACTCTTTAAAAAACAACTCTATTCTTATATTTCTTTTTAAATATAATATTAGCTAATAAATAATTTTATTCATGCTTATAAATTTCAAAGTTTTCCAATCATTTTTTCATCTCAATTTCTATGATATTTGAAAGTTTGTATAGAATACAACAAATGAGTGATATGATATAGATGATGATAAAATGAGTGACATAATAAAGATGATGGTAAAATGAGTGGTGTGATAAAGATGATGATAAAATGAGTGATATAATAAAGATGACGGTAAAATGAAGTGATATGATATAGATGATGATAAAATGAATGATATGAAATGATAAAGTAATATAATATAATAATATAATAAATGTAATATAATAAATGTTAATAAATAAAGTAATATAATTAATAATAAAGTAATATAATAAATGTCTGTATTGGAAATCAAATAAAATTTATAAATTAAAAGTTGAAAAAAAATTCTCTCTAAAATATATTTTTATTAAAAAGAAAATAAAAAGATGCCATTATGAAAATAAGAAGAAAAACAATTTCACAAAAACTATTTTGGAATTTTATTTTGTCAAATGAACTAATGAGAAATTTTATTTTATTGCAATTGAAAATAAAACATGGTGACAAGTTACAGTATGCATTAATTTGAATTGATAGATTAGAAGTTTCTTTAAAAGAGATAAAAATTTAATATCACTTGAATGAGAATAAAAGAATGGATGGATGGGATGGTGACAAATCTTAAATTTAAAAAGAATTATAGTTAAAAATGGAAATAGCGAAATTATCTCTATTAATTTATTTATTAAATTTAAATAGTGTAATTAACATTTTATCAATCCAATTTAATTTAATATCACTTGAATGAAAATAAAAGAATGGATGGGATGATGATAAATTTCAAATTTAAAAAGAATTATAGTTAAAAATGGAAATAGCGAAATTATCTCTATTAATTTATTTATTAAATTTAAAACGTGTAATCTATATTTTACATTTTTTCTACATTTTATCATTTTATCAATCCAATTTGACCTTATATCACTTGAATGAGATAATAGAATAGAGAGGATGGTGATAAATTTCAAATATAGGTAAAATTAAAATAAGATAATTATCTCTATTAATTTATTTATTAAATTTAAAAAGTGTAATTAACATTTTATCAGTTCAATTTATCATTTCGATGAAGAGTGGGTAAGTTTGAAAAGTTCTTCTGATAATAATCATTTGATTATTTTTACAAGTTATGAAAGAAAATGTGATATCTATTGTGATAGATAAAAATGACTTAGACGGGAAGGAAATTGATGAAAATTGTAGAAAGAAACGATAACTTCGTTTGACTTAATTATATCGTATTATTATAGAAATTATTTTGTACTTTTAAATTTTGTTAAAGTTAAAAATTTAAAACTTCTCATTTCACTTCAAAGTTCACTCCAAACCTGTTGTACATTAAAATGAGAATTATTTGTGAATGAATAATTATTATTAATTACTTTTTATTATTAATTACTTTTTAGAAATAATAAATAGTACAATATTAAAATTCATATAATATCGCTATCCGATAAATATTGAAAGATTATGAAATTTAAATAATAATAATAATTATTATTATTATCATTATTTTTATAATAGTTTGAATTTTTGATATTTTCTTATATAATTGTTAAAAATAATAATACGATAGGATAATTTAAATTAATTCAATTTGTCGTAATTATAAAATGAAATTTTAAGATTGAATTAATTTGATATTGTAATCAATAAGTTGGTTTTTTTTTTTACTTGCATATTAAGCATAATTTTTTTGCTAAAATTTCAATTCAAATTGTTAGCATGGAAATCGTGATACGATAGATGTTGTAAAATTTGCAATAATATTAGGTATTAATAGCATATGTATAGGATAAGACAAAAAGTTAATAATTAAATTAATTTTTAATTATTTTAAATATATACAAAATATAATATAACATAATAACAAAAATACTATTTCATTTGAATTAATTTAACATTTGCAATAATATTTGGTATTAATAGCATATGTATTGAATAAGGCAAAAAGTAATAATTAAATTAATTTTTAATTATTTTAAATATATACAAAATGCTATTTAACATATAATAACAAAAATATTATTTCATTTGAATTAATTTAATCAAATTAATTCATTAGATAATAAAAACAATTGAAATTTTGAATGCATTTTAGATATTATTTGAGTAAATTAATTTATTGAAATATCAAAAAAATTTTTTTCAATTTTCCTTTTTGTTCTTACCGATTTCTACAAGATATTTTGTTTGAAACGAAGTAATATCAAACAGCGATAATGATATTTCCTTTTTTTTTCTTACTTCAAAATGAACAATTTCCTTTCAAATTCGATCACCGAAATTGGTTTATTTGGCTGGCAAATAAATGAATTCACATGCATAAATCTA